GCAGAAGACCCGAGCTGAGAGCGCGACTCTGGAGAAAGTCCAAGAATCCTGGCACAGCCCAGCGTCCGGCGGTGTGTCCTCCTGGTTCACCGCTCCGGAGCGCTCAGTTATGGCAGTGACACGTCACAGTGGAGGGCTGCGCGGGGGGGGATGGCTGCTAGGCAAGAGCCGCAGTGCCTGAGTCACAGTGGCTCTGGGTTACGAGGGTGCCCCGCCCACTTCTGGGAGGTCAGGGTGCTGCTCAACCGCACGTGCTGTTTTGTCTCTCTCCCACCCGCACAGATCAGATGGAAGCCTCACGCACAAAGGTCGGACAGGCTTACAGACCTAAAGGAGTGACACACTTAGCTGAGGTGGCCTGGCTCAGAGCAAGGAGCCAAGATCTGGGTTTGCCTTTGGCTAAATCAGCCTGCAGAGTCTGCTGGCTCTGGGCAGTGCCAGGAGCAGTGCCTGGAGCAGAGCACCCCCTCTTGGGCCTCCCCCTACAGTTGGCTCCTGCTGTGACCACTTAGTTGGGTGACCTTGGGCAAATCACCTAAAGTCTAGTAACCATCATTTTTGCTTCAGAAATCTCAGGGCTGGTCCTACTTGGGATTAAGTTCTGTTTCAAAGTTGGGGAGGACAAGCTTCATTCTTTCAACTGTCCCTCAGAGAGAGATTTTTACTATAGGGTCTGTGCACTTGCCAGAGAGACAGAAAGCGACCCCCTAGGGGGGATGGCCACACCACAATCCCTTCTCCTACATTATCCTCTGGGGATTTGGGGCACACTTGCATACGTGCCCAAAGTGAGTTTTAAGCTGCTGGATCTGGGACGCCTATCCCGAGTGGACTACATGGGAGTCCAGCGACATAACTATTACGCTATCTGCTGATCCCTGTGTGTCTCTTTTGCTTATCTCCCTCGCCTTGTAGCAACACAGAAATCACAGAGAATAGGTACTGAGCAGCCAGTCCTCTGGTAGGACAGGGCCATGAGAGGGCTAGAAAGGAGAAGACAAGAAGCAGCATTCCCACCCACCCCCCCCCACCAGAAAGGAGATCAAGGAAAGAAATAGAGGAACTCAGGATGTAGCAGGAAGGCAAAAAGGAGCACATAGGAAAAGTTGGCTTGAAGCCTTGGCTTTTGTATTGACTTGAAACCTTGGGCCAGTCCTCCAGGGCTTCGTTTCTCCCTATCTTCAAGATTCCCTCCAGTCCTAACCTTGAGTCACTTGGATCCTAAGACCAGATTTTATGATACCAACTTGCCTACTTAAGTACAAATAATGTATCTATTATGGATGCTGCGGGGGGGGGCCTGGGTGGAGGGGTGAAGTCGGCAAGAGCAGTGGAAAGGAAGGGGGTTTGGAAGGCTATTCTTTCAGTCTGACTCAGGCCTGAGCTAACAGATGAAGTCAGCTACAGGTCAAGAGGTGGAGAAGGAGGAGGAAGAGGAGGTCATGCCAGGTAACAGGGTAGGGGCTTGGGTTCTTGTTGATTTGCTGTCTAACTAAGGGGAGTTCCTTTCACTCCTCAGCATCCCAAGTTGTCGAATGGAGTGTCCAGCACAAGTTATGTTTTCTGCTTCTGGTACTTGTAAAGAGGGACAGACTGTGGGGCAGGCAAAGTGATTTATATGAAAGGGCTATTAGATGGACAGTGATGAACATATTTTAATTCAAGAGCTTTATCTCTTCGACATGTGTAAAACATAGATGTGATAATCAAAATTCCCTTCCAGATGCAGATCTGGGGTGTCCCTTGACCACCATGACAAGTGACCATCCCCTGGGTTGATTTAACTTTCTCGCTACATATACATATATACATATACACATATATGTATGTATATTTAGAGAGATTTTTTTGCTATATGGCACATGTGCTCTCCAGAGAGACAGAGAGACAGAAAGCGAGAAATCACCCCCAAGAGAGATTGGCCATGCTGCGGTCCCTTCTTCACTCTCCTCTTGGCATCTTGGGCACATGTGCACACATGCCTGGCATGAGTTTTAAGTTGCAGGGTCTGGTAGTCGAACTGCAGTTGTCTACATGAGAGTCCAGCAATGTAACCATTTTGCCACCTGCTGATCCTGATATCTTTCATCTTCTCAGAGGACAGTGCTTGAACAGACCTTACTGCACATGACAGTGGACATTCTTGTCCTAGTTGGGAATATGCCGAGGGACAAGCAGAAACCCAAATAGGGATGCCGGGAAAAGGTCAGATAGGGACCAGCAGTTAGTGTAATGGCTATGTCGCTGGACTCCCATGTAGTCTACTGTGGTTCGAGTCCTGGACCCAGTGGCTTAAACTCATGCCCGGTGCGTGTGTGCGTGCCCAAGATCCTGAGAGGAGAATGGAGGAGAAGGGATTGCGGCATGGCCATCCCCCTGGGGGGTGATTTCTCGCTTTTTGTCTCTCTGTCTTTCTGGCAAGCGCACGTGCCCTACAGCAAAAACCTCTCCAATAAAAGGAAAAAAACGGTCAGACTGGGCAGGGGATCAGAGTCCAGTGGGCATGGGGAAGAGGTGGTCTCTCCAGGCAGCTCCTCTTGGTACCTGCATGTGCACAAGGCTGACCATAAACTTGTTCTGGAATGAAGAGCTCTCAGGGTGATGCAGGGTGGGATGATGCAAAGGGCAGCACTACCTCCAGACTGACCAGGCTCCTCAGGGAATGTTACATGTTGTCACATTGTAATCAGAACTGTTTGGAGGAAAATACCAGATGGGTTTCTACTGAAATGGGAAACTTTACCAGTTGTTTTCCTTCTTTATTTAAGTTAAACACACATTACTGTGATATACATTTGTGGACTATCTCAGAAGTCTACTTAAGACCTCCTCTCTGGGGCCAGCAGACTCCCACATGATTGACTGTGGTTCAAGTCCTGGACATGGCAGCTTAAACTCACTCCCGGCATGTGTGCGCGCGTGCCCAAAATCCTGAGAGGAGAATGGAGGAGAAGGGATTGCAGTGTAGCCATTCCCCCTAGGGGGTGATTTATTACTTTTTTTCCTCTCTCTGTCCTTTCAGTGAGCACATGGACTCTATAGCAAAAGTCTCTCTCTCAAAAAAAAAAAAAAAAGAAAAAAAAAAGACCTCTCTGCTCTGTTCTTAACTCATTGGAACTCTCTGGAAGGAGGAGAAGAGAAGAAATTGACATCTCTTGGCATGCAAACATTCCCTTTAAGGCCTGGGTTCTTCAAACTTCCATTTCTTTTGGTTGCTAAAGTTAACCCAGAAGACAGAGCAAGAGTTGAGTTGCACCCTCATTTTCAACCAACTACAGCAATCGTTTTCCAACCTGGTTCTGAGGAATCTTTCTGGGATCCAAAGGAGACAACAGGCAGCTCTCTAGCCTAGCTGGCCACTATGAAGGTAGTATTACCTCATACTTTTTGGTAGTGAGCTCTGAGGTGTGATTTCACTGAACAACATCTTTCCTTTCTTTACATAGAGCTATTAAAAACCATGGCCACTTTCACCTTATTTTTTTGGTATTTGTTAAGCATATTCTACATATTAGGGCACTAGTCTAAGTACTGCATTTAGCTCCCAGGTCCTCCCTCACAAATGGTAGCATATCTTTTCCTATATGTTCCTGTACTGAATTTCCATGTAGAAGAGAAGCTCTGTGAAGGCATGGACTGGTGTCATATTCATCTCTTCCTCGAGGACAGTGTTTAAACAGACCTTCCTGAACATGCCAGGGTATATTCTTGCCCTGCCTGAGAGTGTGCAGAGGGACAAGAGAAAATCCAGTTGAAATAGCATAGCTTTGTTCTGGGTCAGTCATAGCGTAGAGTGGGCATGCAGGTAATGACGGGTTGGCAGTCCTGTACTTGGAAACAGCTACTAAACAGCTCTGGGATAGAAGAGCCCGGTCAAATTTAGCGACCTG